ATTTTAATGAACATTTACAGAGATTTTGGATTTCCATTCATTCATTGCTTCACTTCTATCCCCACCCAGCCCGCCCCTGCTCCCCAGTTCGCTTCTGTTTTTGAAAAGTAAAAGAAAAACTCCCTCCCTGATACACAATCCCTCCCGCACCCCTCCCACCGCCCTAAGTACATTCCACTGTGCAACCTTAATTATGGACTCTTACAGACCAGCATTTTACAGAAAAAGTGAAAGATACATCCCTTATTGTGGGGTTAACCATTAGTATCAGTGTTGTCCCTGCCTTTGGCACACATGTGTCTTTACCCACTTATTTCCCTGCTCCACCATCGACCAGGATACCCATCCACTTCTACCCACTCCCTTCCACATCTATCTCCCATTGTCCAGCCCTTGATCTGATAACTTATCTCTGAAGCTTCCTTGGCTTCTGTGATTCCAAACATGTCAGCTGCTGATAGTTTCTTATGCTGTGACCAGTGTCTCTTAAGTTTAGTGGTAATGTTTCCTGAGCGAAGGTGACTAGAAGGAGAATTGATGCCTTTGAGCTATGGTGCTGGAGAAGAGTATTGAGGGTACCATGGACTGCTAGGAAAACAAACAGATTCATCCTGGAGAGGGTTAAACCAGGCGGCTCCCTGGAGGCAAGGACCCTGAGGCTTGGTCTAACATAGTTTGGACATGTAAAAAGGCACTGGTCTTTGGAGAGGGACATCATGCTTGGTAGGGTGGAGGGACAGCGCAGGAGGGGAATGCTCTCTATGAGGTGCATTGATTCAGTGACTGGGGTAATCGGGATGGGTGTGTCAGAGACAGTGCCATTGGCACAGGACAGAGAAGAGTTTAGGGCTGTTGTACATAGAGTCGCTATGAATCGCAAGCGACTCGATGACACATAACAACAACACGTTTTGTTTAAAAATACCTTGCTTTGTTCAAGAAGAACAAATGTTCTCTCCCTTGGAGAAGGACATCATGCTTGGAAGGGTGGAGGGATGGGGCAAGAGAGGAAGACCCTGGATGAGATGGATTCATTGACTGGGTAATGAGGGTTGGTGTGTTGGGACAAAGAAGTTGGCTCAAGATAGAGCAGGGTTCAGAGCTGTTGTGCATAGGGTCACTATGAGTCACAATCAACTCGACTGTAGGTAACAACAACAACAACATATGTAGCAAGATAGATTTAAAAAAAACTGCAAAGGAAAAGGAGTCTTGGTGAACAATAGTTAAGGGTTCAGCTGCCTGCTGAAAGATCAGTAGTTTAAACCTACCAGCTGCCTGCTGAAAGATCAATAGTTCAAACCTACCAGCCTCTCTGTGGCAGAAAGATGTGACGACAATAAGCTCCCACAAAGATTTCCAGTCTTGAAAATCCTGTGGGGCAATTTTGCTGTGCCTTACAGGGTCAGAATTAGCTCAACAGCAGTTCATTTGGTTTGAATATAGAGAAATAAGACAAAAGGAAACAGAGCATGTTAGTTTTGTATGCAGGATGTATGACTTAAGGTTTTATTGGTTTGCTGCAGAGACATTGCAAGATAGACTCTGAGATCTCTAACAACCATAAGAAGTTCAGTTGCAGATAGAGTAAGTGTTTTGGCTGAGCTGGACCTAGGACTTGAATACACCTATGGAGTGGGATACAGTTTCCCTGAATCTCTTTATGAATAACAGTGCTTGGGGAATTTATACAGATGCTTGCTCATTCTCCATTTATTTGTGGGGTCCCTGAATTCCATGGAGAGGAGATGACTTCAAACTCTGTATGTAGTTATAGTTCAACTATTTGCAGACATATGTAGAAGACAAAGAATACCCACAGGATATCATAAATTGCACAGAAAGGAAGTGAGATTCTGGGGGAAAAATATCACCATACATGAAAGCAGAAGGGAGACCAACCTCATAATGAGATCTGGAGAGTGATTCTGAGTACTCAACTCAAACTCAGTGGCATTGAGTGGATTTTGACTGGTAATAAACCTCTATCAGCTTTCTGAGTTTGTATATTTTAGAGGGTGGAGACTGCCCATTTTTCTTGTGAGGATTGGCAAGTAGAGTGGAGACAGAGTGTGCACAAGGCAACACATCATGGAGTACAATACCAGAGCTCCTGTGGTTTTTTTATGCTAATGAAATCAGTGAATGCTACAAATCATAGCTTTCCCTCTAGAGACTCAAATATTAGACATTCACCAACGTATTTGGATAGGAAGATGCTTGGGTTACACATGCCATTGTTCTTGGGTAGCTAAAGAAATGTGGAAGGAACCTCATGGTCTAATTAACTTGGATTTCCTGGTTGTATGGGGACTTGACACATCAAGATTTAGGAGACCTATTAAAAATGTATCTTTACTCTTATTAGTAAGTAATGCTTGGGATGTACTCATACCCCTATGGTGGTGGTTATGTGGTGCTGTTAAGTTGGGTATAATCCTATGAACAACAGATCTGAACCCTGTGCTATCCTGCACCATCTCTCACAATCTCTGACCCAGTTGAACCTATTTTTGAAGTCACTGTGTCAGTCTACCTGATTGAGGGTCTTCCTTTCCTTCCCTGTCCTTCCACCTTTCTAAGCATGATGTCCTTCTCTAAGGAATAGCCTCTTCTAGCAACATTCCCAAAGTATGTGAGACAAAGCTTCACCAGCCTTGCACTCTGGCTTCACCTTCTCTGAGACATATCTGTTTGTTCTTTTGGCCATCCAAAGGATATCCAGTACTCTTCTCTAACACTATAGTTCAAAGGCATTAATTCTTGTTCTGTTGTCCTTATTCATTATCAAGTGCTCAGCAGCATAGCAAGAGATTGAAAAGAACATGACCTCAATCAAATTCACCTTAGTCCTCAAACTAACATCATTGCTTGTTGCAGACTGAGGGTAAAGTAGTAATGAGGGAGACAACCAAGAATGAGATAAAAGAGAGTAAAGACGGGGCCAGCAGTCCTGATGATTGAAGTGCCCAAGCCATACCTCTCCGTGTATTTATTGAGAATCATCAGGAAGGTGGTTGTTTGGTGCCGTAGAGGACTCATAGCGACCCTATGAACGAATTTGTTCATACACAGAGTTTCCCGAGGCAATGCCACTCCTGCTTCCATCAGGAAGGTTAAAAAGGA